TGCGTCGGAACATGGTCCCCGCGGCCCGGCTCGGTCCCCCGGGCCTCGGCCGGGAGCGGAGAAGCGAGGGCGAGCTAGCGGCGCGAGCACCGGCGTCGCGGCGAGAGGGCGGGCGGGCGTCGGGACGCTGCTGAATGACGGCAGCCTCCGCCAATCGTGGCTTACGAGCGGCGCCGCTGTCCAAAGTCCACCAGTCGCAGCTCCGGCCGGGGAGGCGGGGCTACGTCAGGCACGTCGACGCTCAAATAAACTTTATTGTCAGCTTCCTCGTTGTACAACGGGCAGCGAGCCGCTGGGAATCCGGGTTCCTACTCTTGTGAATGCTGCGCGCAGGGAATGTTGCATGTGGACTTTCTGCTGTTGGTCCTACCGCTTGGTGGATTGGAGAATAACTGTTGAGTATTTGGAGCGTATTCATTCATGCATTCATTTTTCCTCTTCGCAATAGGTGCTCTTTAATACTGACAATGCAAAGACTAAGCAGGGAGGTCCCTGTGGTAAGATGTTTTTAGACTAGATGGGCGTGATCACAGAAAGACGCACCACTACAGGACCACGTAGTGGTTCCAGATGTCCCCAGCCACTGAGGGGCGGTGGAACCTGGGGACATGCTCTTCTCACCCGCACGTTCGGTCACAGCATCCAGCAGGCCACCAATTCCTGCCCTCCCATCTCTCCTAACTCTCAAATCCCTCGGCTCCTTCCTGACCCCCACCAATACCACCACCAATCAGGCCTGGCCACTTTCGCTTAGCTTACTCTAATTATCTAATTGATTTATCAAGGCCAGGCTGGTCCTCTCTAATCTGTTCCCCCAACCTAGCAATGAGAGTGATTTCCTAAGTAAAAACCTGTGAACAACTCTTTCTGCTTAGTATGTCTTAGGGGTTCCCGGTTGCCTCCTAGAGATATCAAAACTCCTCAGTCCTTTTCTGATCCAGTCCCTACTTGCTTTTCAAACACTAGGATAGCAGTGAGCAAGACAGACCAGGGCCCACTTTCATGGAGTAAAAGACTAATGAAGGAAATTATAAACCAATAACCATGAATTATGGCTTGAAGATGGTAAGGAGTTCAACATTCAGTCAAAAGAGGAACTTATTTTGAGAGAAGAGTATGTACAAAGGCAAGAAACGAGCAATAGCATGGCCCAGAGGGGCTAGAGCTTACAGGGGCTGGAAAGTGGGAGAGAATGACAGCTGATAAGACTACAGACAAAGGTAGGAGGTCTATGAAGAAAGGTCCCTCATAGCAAGCTAAGGGGAGCGATTGAAGTTCTTATGGGCAAACCAATTAAATATGCTTAATGTAATTTCAACAGATTTTTAATTAAACTTTGTTAGTATCTGTGGGACATACACATGAATAAGCTATAGTCTTTATTTTCAGGTAATTTAATATAATAACAGACATAGATGATTGGCCTTAATACAAAAAAGCGAAGCTATTTGCTCCCGGCTGGTCTTTTTATTTCAGGACCTCAAGTTGTCAGTTACTTGAGACTGACCCTGGTCATCAGCCCTGGCCACTCCTAGGGATAGGGAGGTTGAAGGAAGATTCAGACACAGATGCTGAAGAGACCATCAGATTTCAGCAGTGGACAAAACAAATTTTGGAAAGGAAGTATAGCATATTATAAATAATGTTTTTTATTTTAAAAACTCATTCACCTTTTTTTCCCCCTCTGAATTTGAAGAAGTCCGTTGGTCTATGCTGAAAGAGATGTCCCATTTCTGAAGACCAAGTACTCTATGCACTTCAAGAAGAGGAAACCAGCTTTTTTTTTTTTTTTTTTTTTGAGTTAGAGTCTCACTCTGTTGCCCAGACTGGAGGGCAGTGGCTGCTCCCAGCCACCGCAGCCTCGACCTGCTGGGCTCCGGCGCTCCTTCTGCCTCAGCCTTCCAAGTAGCTGGAACTACAGACGCGCACTACGGCAACTGGCTAATTTTTTGATTTGTTGTAGAGATGAGGTCTCACCAAGTTGCCCAGGCGGGTCTCCAACCTGCGGGCTCAGGCAATCCACTCACCTCAGCCTCCCAAGGCGCGGGATTATAGGCTGAGCCACCGAGCCTGGCTGAAACCAGCTTTTTTTAGTCAAATGACCTGAGCACCACTATAATGGTTGATCAGGGGTTTGGTCGTAAGTTGTAGCTGAAACCATTACAATGAGCTTCCTCAGAAAAAGCATAAGAAAAGGCTGAAGGCTGCATCTTAGGAAGACCCAGTATTTGTATTCAAGCAGGAGTAGGTGGAAGAGTCGTAGAGATGGGAAAAGTAGTTGGAAAGATTACAACAATGGAAGACCCCAAAGGCAGAAAGGAGAGGGTTAGGAGAGACAAGGTTGGGGCAGAGCAACAGAGATCAACATTTGGATCAACCCTTTCTGACAGGGCCCTTTTGCTCATGCTCTTGCTCATGTGCTGCCCTTTCCCCCATCTGGCCATTAATCCATCTGGTGTGAATTATTCAAGAAAATATCTAAATGTTAACTGCCTAGAGGGCACTCTTCTAGGCACTTTGGGGACATCTGAGAATTTATACACAACAATCCCTGATCTCAGAGAGCTTTTATCTGGCAAGGGAAGACAAACAGTACAATCATAAACAAGTAAATTATTTACTATTTTAGAAGGTACTACGTCCCGTGGGAAAATAGTAATAAGTTAAGGGAGGATAAGGAGTAGGAATGGGGACTGTGGGATATGATGCCTGTTGTAGTTTTGATGCTCAGGTTAGGCCTTGCAGAGAATGTAAAGTATAAAAAAAGGCTTGAAGATGGTGAGGGAGTTACCACACAAGGACCTAAAAGCAGAGAGTTCTGGATGGAGTACTCAGTGAAATTTAAGGTAAGAATTATCTCTATCCTTAATTAAATTCGTTCATTTATGCATTCAGAGATGGGGGTCTAGCTATGTTGCCTAACCGGACTCCTGAGCTCAAGTGATCCTTCTGAGACAGCAGATAGCTACAGAAAGAGTAGTCAGCCAGATAGGCAGGTCCTCTGGTAACAATGTAGCGAACTCCTGGCAGCCACCTCAAGCTCAGAGTTGGCAAACAAGTTCCCTGCAAGCCTCTCAAGCTAGAGCTTAAGTATTCACTATTGGGATCGAAGAACAACCAATCAGTTCACCATTAGTCCCCTACCTCCTGCTGACTGGTCCTTAATAGTGGCCAATCAGAACAGCTAAATGTGGACCAATCAGCTCACAGCTAGTGCTACCCAATCAGCTTGAACTTAGGACTATATAAACACTAGGTTTCTGGTTTCTCCCCTAGACAAGCAACTGTCTGGGGTCTTCTTCTTGCCCTGGGAGCTTTTGCTTTTGTGTCCTCTTAATAAACTTTGTTTTCTCACTTCGACTGTTAGTGTTCTTTGTCTTTCCTGGATGTGAGGCAAGAACAAAGAGCTGCAACATGAAGAGCTGTGACCTGAAGATTATTGGAACCGAAGAGTGGTGTAACCCAGAGGCTGACTGCCAGCCAACAGAGCCGCTTGAACCAGGAGAGCTGCTAGAAGAAGGCAAGACTCTGGAACTGAGACTTTCCAGGGACTACGTTTGTCCGCCCACCGAACCACCAACACTGTCAGATCCCGGCTTGTTAGCCCATCAGAGTCAACACTCAGGGGCCAGGCTTGCCAGCCCACCCTACCAGCAACACTCTCAGGGCTTGGCTTGCCTGCTCATTAGAGCCAACGCTTTTGGGGCTAGGTTTACCGGTTCCTTCCTTCAGACCGCTCTCTGGGGCTTGCCTGAGCGAAACATTGAGCTGACACTTTTGTAAGCCCAGGCTAACTTGGAAAGTCGGTATCACTTTCACCTCAGCCTCCCGGGTAGCCTCATGCAATGACAGGCACACACCACCACGCTTGCCTGGTTTTTATACATTTAAATGGTTGAAGAACCCCAAGAAAAAGTAGTCTTGCCAAATGAAACTGCATGATATTCAAAAACCAGTGTTTGTAAAGAAAACTGTTTTGAAACATCGCCATGCCTATTTGTTTCCTGGCTGCTTTGATGTCACAAAGGCAGAGGTTAAAGCGTACACCAGAGATTGGGCGGCTCACAAAGCTTGAAATATTTGCGAGGATGTTTATGGTTTGTTTCAGAAATATATAGGTGTCAATTTCAACATTGTTCCCAGGGCAACACGTAGTTAAGAAAGACAACCAATCAGCGGTACAAGCTGTTCTTTGAAGGTTGTTTTCACAACTTATAACAATTTTTAATGTTTTAACAGTTTTGCTATAAGCTTTTTTTCAAATATTCTTCCAA